GCGAGCAGGCGCACTTGGGTCACGGGCAAGGCAGTCGATCACACACCGCCCTAATGTCGCGCACGCGCGCGCGTGCGTGGTGGGGTTAAAGTGTGGGCACTCCAACGTCTTCCAAGACGGTCTTGGTGAACTTGGCAGCGGCAGGTCTCTGATGCCCCTTTTATAGTACGAAGACTCTCTGGGGCTCCCCCTCTCCCCCGAAGGAGGGACTTCCCGCCAGCAGGGGAGCGCGAGAGCCGTTGCAGGGGCCTCATTTATCGTCGACCTCTGCTGATTTGCGTTCAGGGAGGCGAAATGCTTTCCCACCTGATGACGGACGCTTGTGTTGCGCCCGAAACGTCGTGATTTATTTTATTTTATACCTACGTGACTTTACCGAAATGGTTACAGGTGGGGGAGAGGGGGGGATGATTAATAATGAACGTATCGGAGACACTGAGCGTCTGGGTTCGAATCCGGGTTGGAGCCGCCAGTGCTGATAAAAATAAACCAACCCAGGATATTCAAGTGTAGTGGAGTTTTGTTTGGCCTCAGACATATTACCAAGACCCCATAGCCTCACAGACAGACCCATAGACGATCACAGAGCCACACGGACTCGCATCGAGACACGTAGACTCGCACGTAGTACGAGATGTCCTGAAACCAGGGTTCGAAGTGTGAGTCCATCGTCTGAGTCTGGTATATGTATGTATGTATGGATCTTGAACTTCTTTCGCACCGTACGTAGGCAGCCGTGCTAATCGGTCACCAATTACTGCGTGCACACACACAAAACAACAACCACAATAAATCCGCATTGTACATTCAGCTTCGTTGCAGCTCCGACCATTGACGCGTTGCACTCGTAATGTGACGAGCACTGCGCAGGGTACATGACAGGTATGGGCCCCTAAGCGCATCGGAGGCGATTGAAGTGGGGGGTGGTGGTGGGGGGGGGGGGTAGCCTCGGAGCTTCCCTGCGATTTCACCTCTTTACTCTGCCCCCGTTCTCTAAAGACCAAACCACGCCGTTTTATGTTACCAGATGAAGCCCTACCGTGCAACTTAGCACTTTTTATTTCTTCCAGAGGCGACCTGCCCGGCACACGATGATAGCTCATTAAAGTGGCTCATCACACCTGTTTACCTTTATTCAATTTGTCACACGAGCGATGATGATGATGATCACGACGGCCCCGTTTAGCAAGTTTCCCGGATATTTTAACACGGGAGATCCGTGGTGCTGCGTGAGCGCTTGGCAACGAAACAAAGAGGCAACTGAAATCTTCGTCAACATTGCAGGGAACGAACACACAGGGCCCTTAATGAATAGGGGAACAACCCTGTTGTCTCTCTCTGTCGACGCGAGGGTTACGTTCTTGAAAAACGCATTCGCGAATGCAGAAAACGTTGGTTCCGATGGGGAAAAAAAATGTGGGTTACGTTCCTACTACCAGTTAACATAAGGGGGTGAGGAGGTGGTAAATGTTTAATACGTTCTACATTAGAATTGTTTTCAAAATATTACCTTTGGTGAGGGTGATGATGATGATTTGACAAAGGGATGAGGTGGTGGTCATTGTGAGGAATTCAGGAGGATGACTCCTCGGGAGAATGCGGGGTGTTTTATAACAAAGTCGCGCCGTTTTGTTATCATTTTTAGCGCTCTGGGGGGAGCGCTTAGCCGCGACACTTTCCCCGAGAGCGATTTGCATCGGCGTGCTTTTATTTCCCATTTAAATGGACCTCGCAGTCGACTCGTTATAGACGAAAAGAAAATGTATACTATTATGAAAAAAAAAACGAAGTCGACCGTAATAAGTGCGCGTACGAAGTCAAAATGCACAGGAGCGACTTCAGGGAGAGGAGGATGAGGGGGTGGGTCACCGCGAGACTTGAGCGCTCAGCGGGCAGCGTGGGGGGCCGCGCGTGCGTGCCAAATCTTCGCAGACAATTTCAAATGGAACAATTCCGCGCGCCGCCTGGGGGTGTCTGTATTGCACGAAGTAAACACAAAACGAGAATGTGGGATTTTATAGCCTAAACTATTTAATTTTTTTTATTTTAACCAGGTAAGGCCCACCGAGCTATGTAGCTCTTTTTGGAGAAGCGGCCTCGCCACAAATGATTGCTCAGCGGCAGCGGCTCATCGTGTGGACATTCTGAGCAGCCAAATACTCCAAACGCATGATTCTAAATGTGCGGGGAAAGAAACGGGAGGACGTGGGAGAAAAATCCACGCAACCGCGGGGAGAACGTGCAAACTCCAAATATACAGCAGGCGTCTGGGTCGGGATCGAACCCACGCTCACACCTGTGTGCCAGGAGAGGTAGTTAACATCTCCTAGTCACCGCGGCACAGCGGGGGGGGGGGCAAAACCAGAAGGAAGCCGGTTAAAAATCCACGCTACCACCACGAGGAGATGGGGGGGGGAGAGAACACGCGGTGCTCCGCGTGCACTGCAAGAGGCACCGTCGGGGCCCGTGGGCGAAGCTAGGAGGGTGCTTGCGTCACCGCGACGCACTCGAACCACCACGTGCTGAGACTTCTCTCGCTCGGAGACTTCCGCTTGGAACGTCATTCGGCGCGTGGCGTGACGCGGAAAGCACCCGTCGTGATAACGTTGAACGTTAAACACGTGCTGCTGCTGATGATAATGATGATGATACTTATAACGACGACGATGATGTTGATCAGCGTCCGTGACGTTATTTTTTTGGACAAATATTTCTCCAAATGTCACACCACGGATTGCATAACGCACGTTGATGATGACGTGACGGGAATGTAAGCGTGCAGGAAATAATAATCATCATCATCATCATCATGACAACGGCGTTTGTAAGGGATGGCGGTGGTGCATGTGGTGAGCACACTGGGCCACGAACCCCGACAAACCTGAGTTCGATTCCCCCACGACCACGGCTAACGTCATTGGCGAGCGATTCTCCACAAACCTTGTCCCCCCATCACCTGTCACCAAACCCGCATCGACCAGCGCGGTGAAGTATGGTCAAAAACAAAAACCACCGCTCCAGTGACAATCGACGAGGGGATGAGGAGGAGCGCTTCGTCCGGCAGTGGAATACCAAGAGACTGGAAAAAAACAAATACCTTGTAGAAATACAGTGAATTATTTTTGTTTATCGCAGACAATCGCGGGGTCGACCGTGCGCTGGTGGAGTCTCCATGTGCAGTGGGTAGGCGTCTTGCGTTGCCCTATCGGCGTCGAGGTCATCACGGCCGAGGGAGGCGAATTACTCGGTCCACCGATGGTAGTGGGCTACGGCGTGTGTGTGCCGTGTGCACGTTGAGCCTCTTTTGCGCCGTACGCAGCCGACCGTGGCTAGTCGGAGGTGCGGAGGAAGGGCAGGAAACTAAACGCAAAATAAAAAAAAAACGCGTAGGAGGCTTTCGCGACCAATGTTATTCATAATAAAAGTGTTTTGTGGTTAGATGGCGTATGTGTCAATGTGTCGTGACCCTCCACCACCCGACAGCCAGTGAAGGTTGGTCACGTAAACAACGCACCAACCCCCACCGGTGTGTTGGAGAGCAAAATCCACAGGGCTGAAGTAGTAAACGAATTGGCGCGTTGTTTACGTGACGAAACTTACTGGCCGCGTCGGGTGGTGGAGGGTTACGACACATTTATACTTACGCGATATAACCCCAGAAAAGAAACTTTATCATGAACAAACACAAAAAGCAGATTTAAAGATGATTTGAAAGTGCAATAGCTCCCCAGTGCCTTCCCAATATCGGAAGGAAGAAGCGTTCCAGACGGCCGCGGAAGCGCATCTGAAAGCACCGCCCGACGCGATGACCACCGTCTCTGTTCGATGGCTGAGCCCAAAGCCGCTGCGAGGATGAACAGATGATCACGATCCTTGGAGCCTGACCTTGGAGCGACCTCCAATCAATCCCCGTGTGGCACGGTTTTAAGTTCGAAGCGTGGACTCGATGGCACTTGTAGCCACGTTTGCAACCGTCCCTTCCAGAGCATCGGAATAATAAGTTGCACTTGCATTTACACATTCGTAACGTTCATCGCGCGGTCACGAAACATGTGCGCAAGTGGATTGGGGGTGGCGACAGAAAGCCGGCGGTAAGACGGACTCCGATCCGCGCGCTGTCGCTCCCTGGTGCATGGTCAGGTCGATCAGAAACGCGGCCGTGGACAGCGACATTGGAACATGAGCTGAGAAGTGCGCAAAGACGCACGTAGAGGTTCGTGTTTGGACAACATCGAGAGCCGGAGAGGAACGCGTGGATTATAGACAAAGATCCCCTCCCGCCTCATGTATATAACAGACTGTTGGGGCAAGTGCTGTTAGCGAGTAACACCTATGAAGGCCGGCACGGCACACGAGGGTGTGGGTGGCCGGCACCACGGCCAAACCGCTTTTGTCTCCCGAGTGGCGATGCTTTCACACCGCACCAAGAACTAATTTGTGGCCGAGTCGACTTAGGGGAGGCCCAGGACCGGTGAGCGGGGTTGGCCGCGACATCACCACCACCGCTCCCTGCAGGCGAGGCAGCTGGAGAAGTGGGGATTCGGCAGGCAGCGTCGCTGGAAGCGATGACGGACCGTGGTCGCGACCGACGACGGAGTGACAGCACAAAGGAGGGGACGCGAAAAGCCCATCACCGCCGAGATGAATCGATGAGATGAGCTCGTGGGGCGGGAGCTCATCCACTGCCTGACAAAGAACCCCCTCCTATAACCTGAACACAATGTTGGGGCAAGTGCTGATAGCAAGTGCTTAATGAAGGCCGGTGGTGGGTGGCCAAGACCATGTTTAGACACCTCACCAGGTACCCACTTGAAACCGAGTCAACCTACCCCGACTCTCTGCGCCTCACCCATGTGTCACCCATGTGTCACCCATGTCTCACCCATGTGTCACCCATGTGTCACCCATGTCTCACCCATGTCTCACCCATGTGTCACCCATGTCTCACCCATGTCTCACCCATGTGTCACCCATGTCTCACCTATGTCTCTGTGCGGCAGGCGCAGGACACGAGTCTGCCCCGCGAGCTGCTGGACATGTTGGCTCACGCGGACATCCGGAGCATCGGTGACCTGCAGCGCCTCCTGGAGATTGACTCCGTAGGTAAAGGCGCCGAGGGACACTGCGTGCCCCCTCCTCCACACCCCCCACACACCCCCCACACCCCCCCACACCCCCCGCCCCTCACCCCCCCTACACCCCACCCCTCATCCCCCACACCCCCGCCCCTCACCCCCCACACCCCCGCCCCTCACCCCCCCCAAACTCCCCGCCCGTCATTTAAAGTTACGCTATCTAACCGAAACAACTTTCAGATTAATAATATTGGTCGTGAAAGCCTACGTGTTAAATCGACAATAAAAGTTAAACATTCGCCTTCGAAAAAAAAAAACTATGCGATCTGCGACGTTTCGGGCAATGGCACTTCTACAGCACAGAGACGCCAGTGGTGGAGTCAATTCTTGGGAGTGCCCCCCCCCCCAATCCTCCTTCTCCTACACCCCCTACCCCTCCCCTCCATCCCCCACCGCCCCCCCCCCCCCCACGATTTCCCCCCAACCCCGCCCCCTGGAGTAACGATTAATCGACGGGTCGAATACGAAGGTTCCAAGCGTCGAGTTGCAGAATCGATTTTTTTCTGGCGTGCTTTGTGCTCTTGCAATTGAGTAGATTCGCGGCGCTCTGCGGTACTCTCCACTGTCTACGGACACACAAACCCAACACATTGGTCAGCAACACTTCATGGCCCAAAACGGAACGAGCGTACGAGTTGATGATGACCGTTTGTGTTACAGTCGAAACGTCGTGAGAATTTTTATTGTTATATATATTTTATAATTTTATTGTTTCCCTTCAACGTGACTTTACCGAAAGAACCAAGAATAAGAATATGAGTGTACGAGTGCTGACGTTTTGGGGCACGCGACACCTTTTTTTCCCCCCCACACAGCGCATGATAGTTTACAAAAGATTCGCACCATCTGTATAGATGCACAGATGCAGTCGGGGGGTGATTGAAGCAGTGCGGAAGAATCAGACGTTTTAATTGATTAATTTCCCCGACTATAAAGCTCATTGGGGCTAAGAAGCTCTTCGACGATGCCCAAGACTCTCCGAGTCACTCCGGTTCCTCGCCGACCGCTCCGACAATCGCCTCCCCCCCCCCCCCCCATCGCTCTTCTATCGCTGCCGCTAGCGTGGCGACTCTCCTCCTGTGATGATGACCCGGTCCATACGGGACTGACCGTTTCGTCTCATCCGCCACCACCATCATCACCACGCGTCCGAGACGGGAGAGTGAGAGAGAGAGAGCGAAGGGAGAGCGAGAGTGAGGAGAGTAACTAACGGAGTGGGGAGAAGGGAGTGTGTGAAGAGGGGTGAGAGAGTTGTGGGGGAAGTGAGGGCAGAGTAAGAAAGGGGGGGAGAGAGTGACGTGGGGGGAGGGAGTGGGGAGACACGGGGAGGTGGGGGAGTTAGCGGTGGTGTAGCGGTTAGCGCGCTGCACTACTACGAACCCAGCGCTCCGAGTGTGATCCCCACTCACGGCCACCAACACCAGCGGCGATTACCTGAACCGGTCCTGGGCCTTCCCTAGGTCGACTCAGCCTCAAATGAGTTCCTGGTGCAGTGTGTAAACATCGCCACTAGGGAGACAAAGGCGGCCGGGCGTGGTGCTGGCCACCCATCCATCTCGTGTGCCGTTCCGGCCTTCATAGGTGTTACTCTCTCACAGCACTCGCCCCAACAGTCTGTTAAAGCTATATGGGGGATCTTTGTCTTTGGGGGAGTTATCGTAGAGAGGGGAGAGTGAGAGTGGGGGAGAGTGAGGCAAGGGAAAGTGAGAGCGGGATAGAGGGAGAGGGGGGTATGAGAGAGACGGAGCATGCAAAGAAGGGAGATCGCAAAGAGATTCATGAAAGTGAGAGTGGAGAGGCAGCGAGAGTGATATACGAGAGAGAGAGAGAGAGGAAAAGGCACAGGGAGATTGTGAAAGTGAGAGAACGAGAGAGAGAGAGAGAGCGAGTGAGAGGGAGGGAGGGAGAGTGTCGGGGGAGAGCGCCCAGAGAGTTAAATGGGCAGCTCGCTGGGCCGTGGTGAGGTCATCACGGGGTCGCGATGGGTCAGCGACTTAGGAAATTGGTGTGAGGTGCATTCCCGTGACTCTGATCTTCCATATCCATCCTCATTATTGAACACCGATTATGGTAATTACTATTTATCTTTATTATCACAATGCCCTTTGTTATTTACCCAGGAAAGTCTCGCACAGTCTCAAGAATCCCTTTTAAAGCGGGGCATGGAGTTTGGCCGGGTTTTTTTGTTTTTAAATACGTTTCCTTGACGTGCGAAGAGAACAGAGAACCCGGAGCAAATCTACCGGTACCCGTACTCATCACTCCGCACAGATGGATTCACGTTGCTCGACTGCCATATTTGCCCCCTCCCCTCCCACCGCACACAATCTACAGTCTGTGTGTGCCAGCCTTAATAGGCGCTTGATAACAACACGCGTGTGGATGGAGCGTTGGCGCAGTGGTGAGCGCGCGCTGCGCTATGAAACTGAATTCGAATCCAGGGCCACATTAGTGGCGAGCAATATCTGTGTCTCAAACGGTCTTGGCCTCCCTTCACCCCTATACCGAACCTGTACTGCCCAGCATGGTGAAGTACGGTCAAACAACACCCCCTCGTGGCGTACACAGCACGGGGCGGCCATCATCCAGCAGTGGATAGAGAAAGGGCTGTCGATTCGTATGGATTGACAGCACGTATCCCTGCAGTCTGCCCACAGGGCTAAGCGAGACATGTGTCCGTGTGTGTGTGTGTGCGCGCACTTGCCCCAACGGTCTGTTAAGGCTACACGGGGAATCTTTGTCTTTGTGTTTTTGTTCGTCCGTGTGCCTCCACAACCAGAGCGGCCGGGTTCAATGCCGGCGTCCGTGCGGGCGCGCGGCGTGGAGCCTGGAGCGGCGGGGAACCGGTCGAGAGCTGCCCGCTCCGTACGGAGCCTCGGTGAGATGGGGATAATGGTGGCGATGATTGTGGTGGTGGTGGTGGTGACGGTGGTACCAGCGGTGTCAAGATCGGCCTCTATATATGGAGGACGCGCGTGAAGGGACGCTGCTACTGGTCAGTTGGAGGCAGTCGCCCTGCAACAACAACGGAGGGCAGAGGAGCGACGCTCACAACAACGAGCGGAGCGCCGGGAGGATAAAATGCAGCGAGCTGGCAGAGTGGGGGGGGTACAGCTGGTTGCATCTGCCAGTCATCTTAGTCGGCCAACCCATGGCACCTGGGTCTGTTCCGTGACATCCTGTCAGCAGCGAGCCTTCGACACTTCACGTGGCCTCAAAGTGCACATGGCCTGGTACAGGCGCCGTCTTGCCGTCACAGCCACTTAGTGGCGAATGGCGGCTGTTGTTGTTGATGGTGCTAGTAGAGGTAGTTGGTGGTGAATGATGGCGGCGGTGTTGTTTCTGATTGATGAATGTAAAAGTTGGAGTTGATGGGGGGTGTGGTGGTGGTGAATGTGCTTGTGGTGGTGATGCTGTTAGTGGGGAGCGGTGGTGTAGCAGTGAGCACGCTGCGCTACAAACCCAGTCCTGGGGCTCCCCTAGGTCGACTCAGCCTCAAATGAGTACCTGGTGCGGTGTGTAAACATCGCCACTGGGGAGACAAAGGCGGTCGGGCGTGGTGTTGGCCACCCACCCCCTCGTGTACCGTGCTGGCCTTCACAGGTGCTCGCTAACAGCACTTGCCCCAACAGTCCGATCAGGCTGTAGGGGGATCTTTGTCTTTGATGCTGGTAGTGGTGGTGTGTGATAGTGTTGTTGCTGATGGGGATGTTGCTGCTAATGGGATCATGATGAGGTGATGGTGATAACGGTGATGGTTTTGTGTGCCTAGCCACACCGCCCTCCTTAGGATAAAGACAAAGATCCCCCGTATTGCCTGAACAGACTGTTGGGGAAAGTGCTGTGAAAGACATACTCGCGCACACAAAAACGCTTACTCACGTACACGTGCTCACACGCACACGCACGTGCTCACACGCGCACACAAACATGCTCACATGTGCTCACACGCACACACACGTGCTCACACGCGCACACATACGTGCTCACATGTGCTCACATGTGCTCACACGCGCACACATACATGCTCACATGTGCTCACGCGTGCTCGCACGTACTCGCACTCACGCGCGAATAGGGGGGAGAACTCTCGGATGCTGTGACCGTGGCGTGTCGCCCGTCGCATGATTGATGCCCTCACAGATTTTTATCAGCGGCGCGGACAATGATCCATTGAGTACGGTACGAGTTTCCACACTCGTGTGTGTGTGTGTGTGCGCGCGCCTCTGTGTGTGTGTGTGCGCGCGCCTTTTTGTATGTGCATCTGTCTGTGTGTGTGTGCGCGTGAGTAGACGAATCCGTGTGTGTCTGTGTGTGTGTGCGCGCGCCTCTGTGTGTGTGTGTGCCCGCCTCTGTGTGTGTGTGTGCACCTGTCCGTGTGTGTGTGTGTGCGCGTGAGTGGACGAGTCCGTGTGTGGCTGTGTGTGTGTGCGCGCGCCTCTGTGTGTGTGTGTGCATCTGTCTGTGTGTGTGTGCGCGTGAGTAGACGAGTCCGTGTGTGTCTGTGTGTGTGTGCGCGCGCCTCTGTGTGTGTGCACCTGTCCGTGTGTGTGTGCGTGCGCGTGAGTGGACGAGTCCGTGTGTGGCTGTGTGTGTGTGCGCGCCTGTGTTTAGATTGAGAGCGGTAGCGTAGCAGGTTTAGCGCCACGCTGCGCTGCAAACCCCGGCAACCCGAGCTCGAGTCCCGCTCACGGCCACCAACAGCGGTGACGACGATGTGATCCGGTCCGGGACCTCCCCTAGGTCGACTCGGCCTCAAATGAGAAACCTGGTGCGGTGTGCAAGCATCTCCACTGGGGAGACAAACGTGGCCGGGGGTGGTGCTGGCCACCCACCCCCTCGTGTGCCGTGCCGGCCTTTCATAGGTGCTGCTCGCGAACAGCACTTGCCCCAACAGTCTGTTGAGGCTACACGGAGGAGGAGCGGGGGGGGGGGCTCTTTTGCCTTTTGCTTGGAAAAAATTGTGGTGAATACAGCGCTTCGAGTGGCTGCAGGGCTCACGTGACCCCGTTAATGTCTAATAATATAACATGATGTCGACTTCGTCTCCTGAGTGATAGGGATCAACTGCGGCATGTGGTCCCCAAGTGGTCTCGCGCCACCAGCACTGTTAACCGGGTCTCTTGTCTCCCACCTCCCTCACCCCTCCCACCTCCCCCACCCCTTCCACCTCTCCCGCACCTCTCCCCCCCCCCCCCACGTCTACCCCTCCCGCACGTGCCGATCGTCGCGGCAGCCGAGGAGGCGACGGCGGCCGTGTGCCGCGTGCGGCCCGTCTCCCTGGAGATCCCCAGGTCCCAGATCGACTCGACGTCGGCCAACTTCCTGGTGTGGCCGCCCTGCGTTGAGCTGCCTCGCTGCTCGGGCTGCTGCAACACGCACAGCGTGCGCTGCCAGCCGTCACGCACGCGCCACAAATACGTGAAGGTGACGAGCGCAGCACATCCAGCAGACCTGCGCAACGGCACCGGGGCCAACCACAGAACGCCGCAGCAACCGCCCTGACCAACCACAGAACGCCGCACCAACCGCCCTGACCAACCACAGAACACCGCACCAACCACCCTGACCAACCACAGAACACCGCACCAACCGCCCTGACCAACCACAGAACACCGCACCAACCGCCCTGACCAACCACAGAACACCGCACCAACCGCCCTGACCAACCACAGAACACCGCACCAACCGCCCTGACCAACCACAGAACACCGCACCAACCGCCCTGACCAACCACAGAACACCGCACCAACCGCCCTGACCAACCACAGAACACCGCACCAACCACTCTGACCAACCACAGAACACCGCACCAGCCGCCCTGACCAACCACAGAACACAGCACCAACTGCCTTGACCAACCACAGAACACCGCACCAGCCGCCCTGACCAACCACAGAACACCGCACCAGCCGCCCTGACCAACCACAGAACGCCGCACCAGCCGCCCTGACCAACCACAGAACGCCGCACCAACCGCCCTGACCAACCACAGAACACCGCACCAGCCGCCCTGACCAACCACAGAACACCGCACCAACCGCCCTGACCAACCACAGAACACCGCACCAGCCGCCCTGACCAACCACAGAACACCGCACCAACCGCCCTGACCAACCACAGAACACCGCACCAGCCGCCCTGACCAACCACAGAACGTCGCACCAACCGCCCTGACCAACCACAGAACACCGCACCAGCCGCCCTGACCAACCACAGAACACCGCACCAACCGCCCTGACCAACCACAGAACACCGCACCAACCGCCCTGACCAACCACAGAACACCGCACCAACCACCCTGACCAACCACAGAACACCGCACCAACCACTCTGACCAACCACAGAACACCGCACCAACCACTCTGACCAACCACAGAACACCGCACCAGCCGCCCTGACCAACCACAGAACACAGCACCAATTGCCCTGACCAACCACAGAACACCGCACCAACCGCACCGCGCCAACCACAGAACGCCGCACCAACCGCCCTGACCAACCACAGAACACCGCACCAACCACTCTGACCAACCACAGAACACCGCACCAACCACCCTGACCAACCACAGAACACCGCACCAACCACTCTGACCAACCACAGAACACCGCACCAACCACCTTGACCAACCACAGAACACCGCACCAACCGCCCTGACCAACCACAGAACACCGCACCAGCCGCCCTGACCAACCACAGAACACCGCACCAGCCGCCCTGACCAACCACAGAACACCGCACCAGCCGCCCTGACCAACCACAGAACACCGCACCAACCACTCTGACCAACCACAGAACACAGCACCAACCGCCTTGACCAACCACAGAACACCGCACCAACCACCCTGACCAACCACAGAACATCGCACCAACCGCCTTGACCAACCACAGAACATCGCACCAACCGCCTTGACCAACCACAGAACACCGCACCAACCACCCTGAACAACCACAGAACACCGCACCAACCACCCTGACCAACCACAGAACACCGCACCAACCGCCCTGACCAACCACAGAACACCGCACCAACCGCCCTGACCAACCACAGAACAAGGCACCAACCGCCCTGACCAACCACAGAACACCGCACCAGCCACCCTGACCAACCACAGAACACCGCACCAACCGCCCTGACCAACCACAGAACACCGCACCAGCCGCCCTGACCAACCACAGAACACCGCACCAACCACCCTGACCAACCACAGAACACCGCAGCAACCGCCCTGACCAACCACAGAACACCGCACCAGCCGCCCTGACCAACCACAGAACACCGCACCATCCGCCCTGACCAACCACAGAACACCGCACCAACCGCCCTGACCAACCACAGAACACTGTGCCCACCGCACCAGCCACCCTGACCAACCGCAAGCCACCGCACCCACCGCTAACATTGCGCGACGTCATGTTGAATTGTATTTCATGCACTGCAATGTATATTGCAATGTATATTGCAGTGCATCACGTGACATTTAATCATGAGTACTGCATTACATCGCATTGTATTACCATCACGTGACATCGTGTTGCATAGCATTACGTTGCGTTGTACTGAATCACAGTTCATTACATTTTAATGCATCACATTGTAAATGTGTTGTATATTGCATTGTATAACATGACACCGCATGCCATTGCATGGTGTGGGTGTGGTTATGGGGGGCATGGGGGGGGGGGGGAGTGTAGCGGTTAGCGCACCAGGCTTCCCCTAGGTCGACTCAGCCTTGAGCGTGGTGTTTCCTGCCCGCACACACAGAATCAAAATTTTTCATTACACTGAAGGAATCCGATGAGCTATGAAGTTATTTTTCCCACAGATATCCAGAAGGGTGCACTGAGGATGGGGGGGGGGGGGGGGTCCAGAGCGTTACAGAAACAAACAATAACGAGAGGAACACGACAGGAGCCCCGTCGCTCGCTCGCTCGCTCGCTGAAACAGCACTCGCCCCAAACGGTGCGTTTTCAATACGACGGCTTACTCCCTTTGTGTCTGCCAGGTGGCCAAGATCGAGTACGTGAAGCGACGCACTCTCCTCAAGGAGGCCCTCGTCAAGCTGGAGGAGCACCTCGACTGCACGTGCGGCTGCCTTGCCGGACACGGGGACTGCCGCGACAGCGACGGTAACGCCAGCGGCGTCCCACCGCTCGCCTCTCCTCGCCCCGCTCGCTCGCTCGCTCGCTCGCTCTCCCCGCCTGGGCATCAGACTCCCAGGCAGCAGCATCGCCAACATCACCAACGCCGCCACCAATGCCAACACCCGCCGCACGGTGACGTCACCGCGGCGCCCGTACCGGGCCCGGGTGCACTTTGAGGCCACGTGAAGTCGTCGAAGGCTCGCTGCTGGCAGGAGGTCACGGGACAGACGCAAGTGCCATGGGCTGACTGCCTGAGATGACTGGCAGATGCACCAGCTGTGCCCCCTACTGTGCCACCACCACCACAACCGCAGCCACCGCGACGGTCATCGATAGCGAGGTGTTCGTTGATGGAGGCCGACTTGTCATTCACTGACTCACTGGCAGTATGATTCGTGCTTTGACTCACAGGCAGTTCGATTCGTTCATTGACCCGCGGGCTGTTTGAGTGATTGAACACCGCTTGTTGACCAACAGGCGGTCAAAGTCGCCCATCGACGGACGGCACCGCGATCAGACTTGGCTCGTCGGTGAATCGGTCACGGAGCTGAAACCATCGCCACCAAACACACAACCCTCACCCGCACGTAGATACCAGCAGCTACAGCAGCAGCAGCAACAGCAGGTGTAGCAGCTACAGCAGGTGTAGCAGCTACAGCAGGTGTAGCAGCTACAGCAGGTGTAGCAGCTACAGCAGGTGTAGCAGCTACAAGAGCAGCAGCTACAGCGGGTGTAGCAGCTACAGCAGGTGTAGCAGCTACAGCAGCAGCAGCTACAGCGGGTGTAGCAGCTACAGCAGCAGCAGAAGCTACAGCAGGTGTAGCAGCTACAGCAGCTACAGCAGCAGCAGCTACAGCTACAGCAGCAGCTACAGCTACAGCAGCAGCTACAGCAGCAGCTACAGCAGGTGTAGCAGCAGCTACAACAGCTACAGCAGCAGCTAGAGCAGCAGCTACAGCTACAGCAGCAGTTACAGCTACAGCAGCAGCTACAGCAGCAGCTACAGCAGGTGTAGCAGCAGCTACAACAGCTACAGCAGCAGCTGAATCCCCAGAGAATTTGGCGCAGCCCTCGGTGGGACCGTGGCCTTGAGGTGGGGGGAGATGGTGGGGGGGGGTCACGCACGCAGCCTGAGTGGTGGAGGTGGAAGGCGGAGGGAGATACGGGGGGGGGGGGGGGGCATTGTGACGTTGCCCGAGGGGAGGCGAGAGGTGTGGAGGAGGAGGTGGGGGGGACTGTGGGGGAGGAGGGGGATGTCACTTTGTGAAGTTGACGGGGCAGTTGTTTAAATCCAGAAAGCCGCAGGGATTGGGGGAGGTGAGGATGTGAGAGGGCGGGAGGGAGGGCGGGAGGGAGGGAGGGGGATCTTTGTGACAGCGGTGGCGTCTCTCTTTGGAGGTTTAAGTCCCGGGAACGGAGGGAGCGACTCTCCTGGGGAGGTAGAGCACGTGGTCGCGGTGATGCTCCATGGAGTGGCTGTGTTGTCCGCCCCCCACCACCCCCCCCCCCCCCACATTTAAAATAATAGATAGAATCGTTTCACTTGCACTCCCCATCCTAATCATCACCTCCCCCCCCACTACTCACTCCCCCCCCCCCCCCCCCCCAGTCGTGGAACGCTGCGGTGGTGATGGCGATGACGCCTGTGCGTCGCGCTCGGGCGAACAGACAAACGGGCACTGGAAAAAGAGACAGCGAGAGACAGCGAGAGAGAGAGACAGGGAGAGACAGCGAGAGAGAGAGACTGCGAGAGCCAGCAAGAGAGAGAGACAGCGAGAGAGAGCGGGAGATAGCGAGCAAGAGAGAGAGACAGTGAGAGATAGCGAGCGAGAGAGACTGCGAGAGCGAGCAAGAGAGAGAGACAGCGAGAGAGAGCGAGCGAGAGAGAGCGATAGAGACCGAGAGCGAGCGAAAGAGAGAGACAGCGAGAGAGAGTGAAAGAGAGAGACAGTGAGAGGGAGACAGGGAGAGACAGCGAGAGAGAGAGACAGCGAGAGAGACCGAGAGCGAGCGAAAGAGAGAGACAGCGAGAGAGAGTGAAAGAGAGAGACAGTGAGAGGGAGACAGGGAGAGACAGCGAGAGAGAGAGACAGCGAGAGAGAGCGAGAGATAGCGAGCAAGATAGAGACAGCGAGAGAGAGTGAAAGAGAGACAGCGAGAGGGAGACAGGGAGAGATAGCGAGAGAGAGTGAAAGACAGAGAGTAAGAGAGAGAGAGAGACAGCGAGAGAGTGTGAAAGAGAGAGAGCGAGAGGGAGACAGGGAGAGATAGCGAGAGAGAGTGAAAGACAGAGAGAGAGAGAGCGAGAGAGCGAGAATGTTGTTGGCGAGGTGCCAGTCACGGCGTCCTCGTTAATTATCCGCGCACCTGACGAGGCAGGAACGCGAAAAACCTGTAGCGAGTTTCTGGGGGGGGGGGGGGGGGGCACGGAGCTCGGCCAAACACAGCCTGCGGAGATGCGTACACGGAAGGGAGTGGGGGGGGGGAGCGAGGTGGGGGTGCAGGGCGGACGGAGGTTGGTGCTGTACATCCTCCCCCCCTCCCCTCTCACCCTTATAGCAGCGCCTCTTTCAACGCCTCTTCACCTCCGTGGTTCTCAGGACCTCGGTACCACGTTGCGGTCTATGGGATTGCTCTCTTTTGACTGGGGGGGGGGGCTGGGGGGGGGGCTGGAGTGGGAGTTGTGGGCGGGGCGGGGGGATATTGCGGCTGTCACTGACGGGAGGGGTGGAGGGTGGGTTCGTTGTTTTGTAAATGAGACGAAGTCGCCTTTCGGGACCAAGATGTCGAACCACCGACCCGCGACGTATTTTGGGATTGTCGGCCCGCTGCTGCGCCCCCAAGCGCCGCGCTTCCTCGGCCGGGTTTCGAGTTCCGTCGTCACGTGACGGCGGCGACCAGCTGGTTCTAATGTCGCCAGTAATTAGAACCAGCATCATCAGGCGGGGGACAGCTTAGAGCATTTGTAGTTGCTGTTGCTGACCGATGGACGTCGGGGTTTTAATTTCTCGCTCGAGATGTTTCCCGGGCCGCTGGCGAGACTGGGTAGACCGGAGCACGCGGCACGTGAGCAGTGTCCACAGCGAGAGGGGTTGTCCTGGATGCGGCGTGCCCCCCCGGATCCGGGATCATTGTTCCGTGTCGCCGACTCGGGACGGCGAGAACCCGGCTGGAATGTTGATCCGTGGAGGAGCTCACGGCTCCGAGTGACGAACTCGTGCTCATATCTTCCCCTTCCTTCCCTCCCTTCCCGCTCTCCTCCTGTCTCCCTGCTGCTGCTCCTCCTCCCCCCCCCCCTTCAATCCTCAAGGTCCCAATGAATCTCAGCACTGCCAAGACGGCCTCTGCGGGAAAGGTGAGATGCTCGCACACCGGGGGAAGGCCCCCCCCACCCCCTCCACCCTCTCCCCCACCCCCCATCCCCCCCCCCAACATCGGTGGTGGCTCAGGGGCTTTGTTGGTAATGTGGTCGATCCATGGCGGGGGGGGGGGGGGGTGGGGGGGGGTACACTCGCTCTTGCCATCGAAATGGGGAATTCGTGCCGTCTGGCTCAGAGATGAAAGCATGGGAAGAGTCGCCACCCCCTCCCCCCGCCCCACGCTGGTGTATGCGATGTTGAACTTCTTTCGCTCCGCTCGCAGCTCTCCGTGCCAACTGGGAAGATGCTTGCAGGTTGTTGAGTCAGGGCGGCAATGAGCTTGATGGAAATGTACACGAATGTTTTTTTTATTTACGAATGTATCCCACCCCCCCCCAACCCCCCCCCCCCCAATTCCCCCCTCCCCTCCACCACTTGTTTACAGGTGTCAGATGATGGTCGTTACAGCCGGCGGATCGCGCGCACACAGCGAGAGAGACAGCTGCCTGCCTCGCCTACCCCCCACCGCTCCTTCCTCCGCCCTCCCCACTCCCCCGGCCCGCCCACGTGTCCTCCATTGTGACGCCACAAGCCCCCGAACCCGGAAGCTCGCGCACGTGGCACGAACCGCGGCTCGGACGGTGACGAGCGACGGGGTCCGAGGGACGCACGCGGCGAGAGAGAGAGAGAGAGGGAGAGAAAAAGAGAGAGAGAGAGAAAGAGAGAGACTGGCGAAGAAATCGCCGCTGCTGCTGCCGAACCCCCGAACCCTGGAACCCCTGATCACGGACCCCCGGCGAGCGAGTGGCGGAGGCCACAGGGCGGGGGTGGGGGTGGGGGGGGGGGGAGCGACAGCGATTTGCTGGCGCGGGAAGTGATTAAAGAAGACGACGCCGGGAGAAGAGGGCACAATGAGAGAGGGGGGAGATGTTGCGAGGACGTTTGCCGTTGCAAGAACAGGAACGGGAAGGGGGGAGAATGGCCGCGAGATAGCGGAACGAAGCACGGGATGGCGACAGAACGACAAGGGGTGGGGGGGGTGGGGGGTGGGGGGTGGGGGGGGTCAGGGAGTGGGGGCATGAGAGTGTCGGGGCGTGAAGCGCTCCCGGGAGGAAGGAGACGGAGCGGACCAAGCGCGAGACGCTTGAGCGAGTCGCGAGTATTTCCGGGGTGAGTCCCAAGTCCTCTGGGGCGAGGCGTTGGACTGGGTGGGTGGGTGGGCGGCGGGACTGGAGGAGCCGAACCTTACCCCTCCCCCACCTTCCCTGGCACGACTCTGGGCAGTTTGCGGAAATCACAAAACGGAGAGAAACGCCGCGACTTGGGAGAGACGTGGAAGGGTTTGTGTGTGTGGTGTGTGGTGTGTGTGGTGTGTGTGTGTGGTGTGTGGTGTGGGGTGTGTGTGGTGTGTGTGTGGTGTGTGTGTGTGGTGTGTGTGTGTGGTGTGTGTGTGTGGTGTGTGTGTGTGGTGTGTGTGTGTGGTGTGTGTGTGGTGTGTGTGTGGTGTGTGTGTGGTGTGTGTGGTGTGTGTGGTGTGTGTGGTGTGTGTGTGGTGTGGAGTGGAGGAGGGAGAGGTGAGAGCCCTCTTCGTGCCATTGGGGTTCACGAACGTGGCATCCGCAGATCCCCCCCCCCCCCCCTGGAAACTGCTGGTGTTGGTCGACACAGCGGGTGGTGGGGGGGGGGCGATGTAGGGGGGGGGGGCGATGAGGTTGTTGGAGAGGGGGTTCTCATCATCGCTTAGGGGGAGATGGGGGGGTGATTTCACGGTCGCTACGGTGAACGATTTTTTCTTTTTTTTTTAAACCTAAGATGTTCTCTTACTCCACGGGCTCTAAAGTCCGTCTATGGTTCTGCATTTGTCGACGGGAACGAGCCGTCGATTATAATCGATTGTCATGGATGATTGTTGTTGATGCGATTAGCGTATCGAGTCGTGACTGTGAATCGCTGCTACTGCTGGTGGAGGTGAAAAATGGTGATGAGTGTGGTGAGTGGTGGTGGTTAGGGTTTGTGGTTAGGGTGAGGGTTTGTGGTTAGGGTGAGGGTTTGTGGTGAGGGTTTACGGTTATGGTGAGGGTTTGTGGTTAGGGTGAGGGTTCGTGGTTAGGGTGAGGGTTATGGTGAGGGTTTGTGGTTAGGGTGAGGGTTTGTGGTGAGGGTTTGTGGTTAGGGTCAGGGTTTGTGGTTAGGGTGAGTGCTAGGGTGAGGATGTTGGTAGTGAATGGTGGATTGACCACGGCTGTTGATGTTGCTGCTGCTGCTGTTGCTGGTGGTGGTAATGATGACGAATGAATGAACGCTCCACACAACCGCTGTGTCCCAGCCCGTCGCGGCCACGTTGATGGCCCCTCCGGGCGAGGCGTTTAAACTTTTTTGTTTTGCCATAGAGCGTGGCGCGTGCTTGTTGTTGTACCGCGTTATTTTCCTTTAAAAACAAAAAATGTATTTACAGAAATACCAGTTAAGCCGTCGCCCGTTGTATTTTTTTTTAATGAGCGTTGCTAATATTCGAGTTTGTCGCTCGGTTAAATTGTATCGGTGCCGGTTACCCAGAGCTCGCCTCTCAATCTGCGGCTGACTCGGGGAGACCGACAATGTCGGTCTCTCCTCCGTGTGGCCTCTCACAGACTGTTGGTTGCGGCAAGCGCTGTTAGCGAGTAGCAAGCAACTTATGAAGGCCGGCACGGCACACGATGTTTACGACACACCGCACCAGGTACTCACTTGAGGCCTAGTCGACCCGGTGGGAGGCCCAGGACCGGATCAGATAATCGTCACCGGTGTTTCTGGCCGTGAGCGGTAATCGAACTTGGGGGCCTGCCGAGTTCTTCGTGCAGCGTAACGCTAACCGCTGCACCACTACGCGCTGACCACAACTTGATAACACACGCGCGCGTGCACACGCCACGTGTAGACGTCTATTATGCTAACCGGCGCGTGCATCATTCATTGGCAATCTTCACCAATCAATCCACTTCTGTTATCATCTCCCCACATGACCACGCAAATGAACTCGGGTCGTTCACTCACTCCAGCATCCACTTTAAATCTGCTAAATCCAACAAAAGCCAGCGTTATTGACAATGACATTCTGCGGGTTATCACGAGTTCCCCGCAACCCACACCCCCCCCCCCCCCTATTGAACCCCAAATGTTATACATCGCAAATCAAATGATCCTTGCTGTGCCGGAGAATTGTGCAGTTGCTCGTACCAACGGTGGAGGGGTTGAGCCAGTGAAAAACGCACAGGTTTGACTCCCTGTGAAAAATAACGTAGCTCAGCAAGTGGAACCTTTTTAACCGACCGATGGTGGTTGTGGTGGTAGTTGAAAAGTGGTCGTGGTGATGGTTGACTCTGTCCTACGATTGAACCGAGACGTTTACACTGCGCGCCTGTTTTATCTGCTGGGCTGAGCTGTCTCCCGTGAGACATTTATCACCACACTTACCAATTGCCAGCGGTGTAATTACGATTGCTTTGTCACGATCCACGCATCTCCCGGGGTTGTAAACGCGCACGCGCGGCAACCGATTCATTGACGTGTCTTGCGATGTATTATAGAAACGCAAATCGTATACCGTACTGAAATTACACTTGGGTTAAGGGAGCAACTGGAACTACTCTACAGCTCGATGCAGACAATGAAACGAGATGGGGGTGTGGGTTGGGGGGGGGGGAGTTACAGAAATAATTACTTGAATCAAATAATAACCCCGAATCGTGACGATTTATGGAATCGCTGTGCAGAGCGGATGGGGTGGTGGTGGTGGTGGTGGCGGTACAAATTGAATGCTAGCCGTCGATGTAAATGAAAGAAACTTCGGTTTCGTCTCGAGTGATGTCTTTCGTATGGGACAGGAGTTGAGTAGCAGCTACAATTAATCGGTGGTGGTAGGGCCGTCCATAGCGGGGGTGGGGGGGGGGGCAAATCACACCGCGTGCCCCCCTCCCCCGACGGCTTCAGACGAAACCGGGAGGACTACATCTCACACCGTGACGTCGAAGGGCGCCTCTCAAAGCGCGTGGCCCGGGCCAGTCGCCCCGATTTGCCATCCCGTACGAGCGGCTTTGCCTACCTCCTCCTCCTCCCAGTGTCGGGAGAGATGGAAACCACTGAATTCACCCCCCCCCCCCACCACACTCCCCCCCTCCCCAAAGCGCGGGGCCCGGGCCAGTCGCCCCGATTTGCCATCCCGTACGAGCGGCTTTGCCTACCACTTCCTCCCAGTGTCGGGAGAGATGGAAACCACTGAATTGAACCTCCCCCCCCCCCTCCATGCAAGTGGGTGAAATGGTCCAGTCCGCTTTATGTGTATCACATGTTGGGCTGTTTGTATGCCGCGTGTTAAGTTAAGTTACGCCGCGTCTCGAGTATGCGCGAAACCTTTGCTCGTCCGTACCCTGCGAACGCCAAAAGTGAAAAGCCAATGGACATTGCAAAACTGACTGAACCTTTTGCACGATGCTGGTGGGCATCATCGACGCGCGTGCGTGAGAGGGTCTGGGGTACAGGAACCTAACGGAGACTTGCAGTAGCCATACCCCTAACCGCACTCCCCCACCAGACCATAACCACACGAACCAATCGGACCATAACCCGAAGCACACTCGCCAAGCAGACACGAGGTGCGAGAAAGGACATCGCACTGAGCTGCTTTTTGTGCGCTAGTTTGTTGTCCTTCCCCACATTTTTTATTCGCGCGGGTTGGATACTTGTGGTGCGAAAAAAGTTCCAACATGCATACAACCCTAACCCGTTGCCACACTAGACAAACCGATCCTGATCGCACAAGCCAATCGGATTCTCACCCTAACCACGCGAGCCAACCGAACATTATCCCTTCGCCCTAACATTTAACCTCCCCCCCCTACCACCTCACCAACCAACCCCCCCCCCCCAAGTCCAGCGCCACCTCTCTGGCTCGTCACCTCGCACCCCGTTCTCTCGGTTCGTTCGCTCGGCCCTGTCAACGTCACGTAGCCCGTTAGTGACGTCACGGCACGTGCGTTGAACCACGTGCCGTTGGTCCACGTGCCCGTATCGCCTGCCGTGGTGTGGACGCCGTGCTTCTCTCCTCCGCTGTTCGGTACTCGTGCTGTACAAGCGACGGGCTTCGCGTGTTCTTATTTATGGCGTAGCGAAGTTGTTGTTGTTGTTGTTGTTGTCGTCGTGCGAACTTGCGCAACGCAAACGCCGTACCTCGTCGTCGCCCCGTTCATCGCCCCGTTCATTGCTCTCGAGAGACGGTCGTCGCCCCCTACAGCAGAACGTCCGAAGGGAGCGGGAGGACCTTTGTGGAACAAAAAGTATTTTTTTTTAACTACGCATGAATATATCTATTTAACGCTGCAGCTCGATGCGATGTCCGTAACGACGAGGCGGTGAGAGTCAACTTGCGATTTCGTAAAAGTGCTGTCTATTGTCACTTATTGAACCAGGTGAGGGCCCATTGATTGGTAGATTAAGTCGGTCGATTATCCTTTATTTATCCGCGTGAGAGCGCCGTTGCGAGTTTGTATAATCCGGTGAATTGCCCTTTGTTGACTCAGGTGAGATCCCACTAAGCCGTATTGAGAGCCATCCCCCAAAGTGCCCTTTATTTAAGCCGCAGACCCAACCCTGGAGCGTAATCGCACGCAACAGTAAGGCCATTGTGTTCTAATGTCATAACTGGAGAGGCAATTTCGTATTAAACTTTTTTTTAAACAAAAATGACCTTTGCTTTAAAAATTTTTTTTTTTAGATTAAATGAAAATCTTTAACAATTGTCACTTTGTTCTTAACGCACAGCAGAGCCTCGGCATTGCCCACTCGGACAATATAATTGGCAAAAACAAAACGATGATGATAACGGTGGCGGTTCGTCTCGTGGTGGTTGTCCACCGGCGACCTCCACCCACCCAGGTTTTAGCCCTGGACTCAAAACCGGTGGCCGATTAACACCGCAGCCTGGCGCGTGCGTTGAGTGAGTGCCGTGGTGGCGTGGGTCAAGATAATTATCAGTGCTGAGCTTGATACATGAGACAAAGGCGGCCGAGTGGGTGTCATCTCAGTCAGTCGACCCGTGGCACTTGGGTCTGCCCCGTGACCTCCTGGCAGCGGGCGTTCGACACTTCACGTGGCCTCAAGGTGCACATAGCCTGGCACAAGCGTCGTGGTGACGTCACCGCCACTTAGTGGCGAATGGCGGTTGTTGGTGGTAGAGCGGTTAGCGCGCTGCACGAGGAAGCTCAGCGAGCCGAGTTTGATTCTCGCTTACAGCCACCAACACCAGGTGACGATTATTTGAACCGGTCATGGGCCTCACCTCGGGCGACCCAGCCTCAGAGGAGTTACCTGGTGCGGTGTGTAAACATTCACCACTGAGGAGACAAAGGCGGCCGGGCGTGGTGTTGGCCACCC